GACGTTTGCCGTTGCATTTCCACTGTCAACATGCAATGTCGACGCACTCTTGACATTTCCAGACGCTGTTCAAGTAGCTCTGCTTGTTGTTGCTGTTGTTGTTGTTGGTGCTCGCTCATCTAATGTTCACTATTTTTAATTTGCGAGCCATTGGGGAAAAACTATCACAAAGCGCACGCGCTGCAGTTGCAGTTGAAGTTCAAGTTGCATTTTCACTTGGCATCGCTTTTTGCATGTTTGCCATAAACAAAGAAATTTAGCATTTTTTTGTTTATAGCACGGCTTATGTTTGTTATCGATGATCAATTGAAAAGTATCGATGCCAATGCCGTTTGCCATTGATCAGCCACTTTGTTTGTTTGCCTCTGTCGCTCTGTTGTCACGTCCAACAGTTGCCGTTATGTCTGTATGTATGTATGTATGTATATATTTTGTCTACACTGAGCGCCCAATTGTATGCCTTAAAACACCTGTTCAAATGGCAAAGTAAACTTCTTATTGCAAAATTATGCACAAGGCGACGCATAATTTGCTAATTAGCAATTATGCGCTGCCAACTTGTTTGAAAGCTTTTTCTGAATTCGCTCAAGCTGAAAATTGGATATGAAGTGGCAAATTTGATTCTAATTGGAACGAGTTGGAAATTGTGCAAATGACATTTGCGACTTTGGAATGAGTCTAAAAACCACGACTTCAAGTGAACTAACGCTATAATATACCCAGAATCTGCTGCGAGTGAACTGAAATAAAATATATAAACTAACTTGTTAAAGCGATCTACCTGAAATTAACAATTTATACCATGCGAAATTAACAACTTATAGCTTCGTGTCTTTGTATGTATGTCTCGTTGTATTTTATGTTTGTATAGATTATTTTCTTCAGTGTAGGCTGCACAGAAAAACTAACGCAACAAACAAATTACTCGAGGCGACAAGACAATGCTGGGCTTGGCTAGGCCAAAAATAGATCAAGCAAACTATCGGCTCGGGAACGGGAGCTGGATCGGCAATGCTCGCAGGCAGAGGGACTGCAGGCATTGTTGTTGTCGCTATTGCCGTTCGTGTTATTGTTGTTGTCGTGCGCCAAAGCGGGAAATAGCATCGGGGAACAAACAGTTGGGAACAGCAGAGGCAGCAGCAGCAGAAGTCAAGGATCCCCAGCAAACTGCATTAAACTACTTTCGGCATTCGGTTTATTGCGTCGTCTCGTCGTGTGTTTCTACTTTTAGCTGCTGGGAGTCCGCCCCATCCCCGAGTCTAACTGTGAGAGAATCTTGAACTTGTGCTGCGTTCACTCTTTTGCTTGTTGTTTACGTTTTTCCTTAGGTTTTTCTTTATTGTTTTTTTTTTCTCCTTGTTTTTTTTTTTTTTTTTTTTTTTTTTTTTTTTTTTTTTTTTTTTTTTTTTTTTTTCCTTTTTTTTTTTTTTTTTTTTTTTTTTTTTTGTTCTTTCGTCGTTTGTTCTTTTCTTTTGTGAAAAGTGAAATGAAAAGGAGGAATGAGGAGCTGCTGGCGACATATTTCAGTCGTATTTTCCAATTTAAATTAAAGCTGTTTTTGTTCCAGACATTGGCACTTAAATGCTTTGGGATGTGGTCACTCATTGGCGCTATATTTGGTATGCTGGCAGCATTTGATGCAACATGGAAGAGGCATGCTAATTCTGTCAGCCAGCCCTGACATCAAATTACATTCGCATTACTCATTTACCAGGTGCGAAAAGGCAGTGCAAGTTGCAGTAATCAATGTAGGGTATACAATAGAAAATTTAGAGAATACTCGCTTGAAATAATAAATAATAATAATACACATTGATCTACCAATAGATATTTAAATTAAATATGATATATGTATGTATTTTTCAAAGTTTTCTATTTATTTAACTATAAGATTATGTCTAATGATGTTATAAAATATTTTAAATTTATAATCTTTCCCATATTTTATTTGTTTAATTTTTATTTATTATATATTATATCACGTTTTAGTAATTCCATTATTTATTTTGCCTTTTATTCTGCTTTTTATTTAAAAATCTCAATAATACTTTGATGCTCTATATAAAAAATGTTTGTATTTTATTTTTGTTTATTAAATTTTTTTTTTTTTTTTTCATTTAACTGTTTGCGGAGCATTAAAATTATTATTTATAAAATGAATTAATATTTTAAATTTTCAATAACTATAAAAAATATTTTACATATATTTTAATAAGTCAAAATAGTGTGTTTATTATTATTTTGTTATTTGTCAGTTATGTTTAATCCAACATTTATTTCATACACACCTTTGTAAATATATTTTATTTAAATATATATATATATATTTCTATCCGTTTTGTATTATTTTAAAAATAGAGTAAATTCCAAAATCCTCGCCGAATAGTTTTATATTTGTGCATTAAGATATTTGTTATATGAGTTTTAACACTAAATTTGTTTATATATTTTTATGATTTATCCTCTTTGGATACTTGTCTAGTATGTTTTATTAGGAACCGAGCACAATTGTTTATCACTAATGCTTAAATTTCGTATACACCACACTCACTGATAATCCAAGGCACAGCACTAATATTTGGAAATCTTATACGTATATCAATATCTATATCCGTTTCGAATTGGCTGCCGTATCTCTTTCTCTCTCTCTATACCGAACGCGCGTTGGAATGCAATTGAATTGATGCTCGAGCTGTGCCACGTTGTGCAGCCCCAAGCATCAGCCCTCGTCAACAAGAGACCCTCGGCTCCTAACTAGACGAAGACAGGGCAGACAGGCAGAGCAGCACGAAAGCGAAGACGAAGACGAGACCTGTCTAAAAATAGTCCAGCCGTATTGACCGTGCAGCCGACGCGGGTCCGTCACTTCTCTGTTAGATTCCTTACCTCGGCAGACGCTCTGTCTGTCTATTTCTATGGAGCTCGACAGTATGCAAATCCCGCTGTTTTCCTTTCGCTGAACAATCTGTTTAGAGAAGTATAAAAGCGATAGTTGTTGTAAGTGATATGATTGATGTAGATTGAAATGTATAATATTGTTAATGACATTTTCCAGACAAATCATTTTCCAAAAAACATTACAATAAATCAATTTTATAGGTTCGTTATTTGTTAATAACTAAAATTAATTTCAATTAATAACAGATTTGTTACCCTTAACATCATTAAATTATTGAAGTTCTGAATTTTTCAATTAAATGAACATATATAAAAAGAATATAACTATAAATATTTCAAATAGTCACCAACAGCTTCTCTAGTTTAACTATGGGAAAAATAGTTTTAAAAATAAAAATCAATATCTTTGAAAAAGTAATATCATTGCAAGTGCAGCTCTCCTCTTAATATAATAGTAATATTATTAGGCTTATGTAAAAGCCTGAATACCCATTGTATTGATAGAATAAACTAGTTTATATGCATGCATCTGTTATCTTTGATATACTATCAATAAAAAAAAAAAAAAAAAAAAAAAATCATAATATAACGAACAGACGGCCTAGCAACTGTACCCATTGTCAGTCAGTGGCAACAAGTCTCTGTGGATATCAGGATTCGTGCGAAGTTCATTCAACTCGGCAACAGGAGCTGTCGCACGGACGGAAATGGACACAAATATTTCATATCGCTTAGGTAGGGTGTTGAGCACGGAGCATGGAGGAGAAACCACAGAGACAGGCGACGCATGCGCAACAGAGTTTGTTCACCTCTTGCGCCTGCATCCGTCAGATCCAAAGAAACAGAGATGCACACACACAGAGTCATAGACTCATAGACACAGGGAACGTACTAAGTAATTGCAGTTACGCACGGATTGTATTACACGAGGCCAGGTTTTCAGGCTTCAGTGCCTGTTGTTTTTGGGGGCAAATAAGATTGGTTGCCTTTCGTCTTTGATTTTTCCAAGCAACTGTTTCAATTTCTGTGTGGCTTTCTATTTATCTACGGCTGCACTAATATCACTTCCACTTTCCCCCACCGAAAAGGTGGGGCCTGACACTCGAGGGCCAAATGATTTGTGACACATTCTTGATGGCAACTTATCTGAAATTTGGTCTTTGATTTGTTCTCGTGATTAATTATGCTGGGAAAGTAAGATATGAGTGAGTTGTGGGATATTTTATATGGGATGTATATATTTAATAAATGTTATTCTTTAAAAAAACAGATTTACTTAATATAAACAATTTGAAAATATTTTTTTATATTTGTAATCTATGTATTATTAATTAGTCAGATAAAAATAATCACTTTAAATTCTCATATTATAATTATTTTCATAAATATTTCTTGGTATATATATTTCAATATGAAATATCTTTAACACAATATAAATATATTTGAATAAGTATATACTAAGTTATAAATAAGAACAGAACAACATTGTAATAGTTTAATTACTTTTTTTTAGCTGTTTATATTTGGATTATTAGTAGTAGTAGTAGTATATAGTACTTTAAAAACATATTTATATAAATTAAATTAATTTTAGACTTTTAGTTTGCCAAAACAATCGGTATGCACTAAATATTATTATTATTATTTTTCTTTTTTTCTCAGTCCTCACAAATCGAGTGAGGTTTGGTCCTAATTTTTGATGTATATAAATGTGTTGTTAAAGTACTATCTATATCTGATTGTACCGTTTCTACACTTAATAAAAAAATACTTTTAGATGATTCCGCTCAAATGTATGCAACACTTCTTTGCTTCAACTTTAATGCATGATTCAGCTTTAATAAATGATTCCTTTCATAAAATTACTAATGCGTATTACGCATTAGTATGCGTGCGTATATGAAGTTTCAGTTTCTCAGAATTAGCGATTGTGACTGTACACTCAATTTCAATTCACTTGAAATGGCTAGTCGATTTATCGTTTAACCACAACCACAATATGTAGTCCAAAAATAATTCCCATTAGGGAAAAATAACAATTATGCGGGTCATGCTGGGGATATATAAAACAGTAAACCCTTCAAAGGTGGCATATCGTTCCAGATTCAAAGCTAAAGATGAAGTCGGTTGTTATAGTATTAATCGCTCTCCTCGTGTCCTGTAGTCAGGCAATCATCTACGAGGATGTGCTTGCGGCCGAGTTTGAGGCCTTCAAGTTGGAGCATGAGAAGAGCTACGAGGACATCGACGAGGAGAACCTGCGCATGCAGATCTTCAAGCTCAACAAGGAAACCATCGACAAGCACAACGAACGCTATGCCAGGGGCTTGGAGACCTACGAGATGGGCATCAACCAATTCTCGGATATGCTGCCAGAGGAGTTCAAGCAAATAATGTTGTCCAACATAAACACCACCGATTTCGACTCCAGCATCGACTCGATCTATTTACCCCAAGATATTGAAATACCAAATGAGGTTGACTGGCGTGGCAAGGGCGCCGTTACAGCGGTGAAGAATCAAGGCAGCTGCGGCTCCTGTTGGGCATTTTCCGCTACGGGCGCTCTGGAAGGCCATCATTTCATAAAGAGCGGTCGGTTGATTCCGCTATCCGAACAGAATTTAATGGACTGCTCCGGTGGGTATAACAATCACGGCTGTCATGGCGGTTTTCCATCGGCTGCGCTTATGTATGTGAGGAACAACCGTGGTATTGACACTGAGTCGTCATATCCGTATGAGGGCCGCCTTGGATACTGTCGCTACCGTCGCTCATTTAGTGGCGCAACGGTCTCTGGAGTGAAAAGAGTGCCACGCACCGAGAGTGCATTGGCTTACGCTCTCGCAGAAAAGGGTCCAGTCTCGGTGTGCGTCGATGCTAGCAAGTTCCAGCACTATCGTGGCGGCATCTTCAGCGATCCTTCTTGTGGCCAACACGTGAACCATGCCGTGCTTGCCGTTGGCTACGGTCCAGACTTTTGGCTGATCAAGAACTCCTGGGGTAGCTGGGGAGAGCAGGGCTACATGCGCTTGGCTCGCAACCATGGCAATATGTGTAAGGTGGCCAGCTATGCCGTTTTTCCAACTGTCTAAAGCATAAACAACATTTGATCAAACCTACCATAACAATTTTAATACAATGTGTTCATTCATATATATATATGTATATTCAATGTATAATTTATCTAATTCTTTTCTCTCTCTTTTGAATTTGTAATAAAATATCCCGTATGCAGTGCAACTGAAGTTAACATAACTTAATCTAATTGGACATTGGAAAACATAATCATATTTACAATTTACAATAAGTTAGTTATTCGATTGGGGTATAAATAGAGGAATGACAGCGATCCCATAGCATGTTTGGCAGTTAAAAACTTAGCTAGAACTGTGATAAAGCTTAGAGATAGAAGTAAAGACCAGCTAGCTGCTTTGGAAGAGTATTGCATTGTGACGGCAGCTCTAACTGTGTGCGCATTGTCGTAAGCAATCTGTTTATAAGCGAAGATTCGATATGTTCACGTACTCTTTGCACTCAGTGTACTCAGTTCAGCTATGTCGTCGGCATTTGAGTCTACCAGCGGCGCAGTCACTTGCAAATGCAGCTCATAATTGGGAGCTGCAAGAGTAGAATATTTAGTATGATCTATGTGTAGTACATATATCTATATGCTTTGCTTACTGTGCTCCAGAATGAACTCCAGATCATTGGGAGAATCTATCGTGGGAAAATCAATATTTGTCGACTCTTTCAGTATGACGCCAATATCTTTGTCTGCGCCCATCAGAAACAGCGGCACATTGGCCTTGGCCAGCTCCTTGTGGAGATTACCCATGCCGCGAGCGGCTGTGAAATCGAAATCTGCGATCGAACAATTGAAGAAATACAGTGAAAAGTATATACAAATCCGATATCCTTAGCATACATACCATGCACCTGGGCGCAGTCCAGGACAACGGGCGCTGTGCCGTGCGTGGAGAGCGCCTTTGAGATGCCGTTGCGCACCCATTCGATGGCCGGAAAATACAGCGAACTATGCTTGGGGCGTATCAGAATGTAGCTAATGCCATTGATTGTCTGCAATTTGGAGACGGTCAGAACTGGTCTAGCGGCCCGATAAACGAGAAAAGCGACATCGGCGCCAACACCCAGCAGCAGGCCAATCTCCACACCTATTGCCAAGCTCATGACAAAGGTAATCGCGCCCGGCAGCAATTCCCGCCGGCTGCACCGCCACAGGGGTCGAATGACCTCAAACTCAATCATAAATATCACAGCCGAAATGATGACAGCACTCAACGCCGCCTTGGGTATGTACTGGAAGTAGGGAGCCAGCAGACCCAGAGCCAGCAGCACCAGCAAACTCGTATAGCAGCCCCCAATGGGTGTCCGCACTCCACTTGCATGATTGACAGCGCTGCGCGAGAAGGACCCAGTGACTGGCATCGAGCTGCAAAAGGAGCCACAAATGTTGCTCAGCGAGAGGGCGAGCAGCTCGCGCGTCGGACTCAATCCGGCGCCGCCAAAAGCTTTCGAAATGGCCACATTGCCAAGCACAGCGATAATGGGCAGGATCAGCATAGAGGGTCCCAGTTCCGAAAACTGCAAAGTAGACGAAATATATTCGAATCATTACGTAAACGCAGCAACTGCTGAACCTACCATATCCTCGAAATTCTGATGCTCCTCTGTGCCATTCTGGCCAATGATTGTTGTCTCGAACTTGGGCAGCGCCAAGTTTGGCAAGCCACTCTTCACCTTGCCCGTGAGTATGAATGGACAGTCCGCCTGCTGGTCGCACTGGCTGTAAGCCAGGACACTAGACATAAGCACTACGAGTGCATTTCGTCCGGTGCATATAACCCAAATGCTACCTCTGAGTAACTGCTGAGCCCGCATGTTGCCCACGCGATCTGCCAGCTTGACGTTCTTCAATCTCTGTAAGATGAATGTTTCAGACAGAGCTCACAAAAAGACTCCACAGGCAACTCACTCGCAGCAGCAGAAGCACAATTATGGAGATCAGTCCCAATGTCAGGTCTCCATAACGCACCTTGTGCAGATTGCCGACAACAGAACGCATGGTATTCAAGAAATCCGACCCAGAGCCGCCACGCAAGCCCAACAAACCCTTCAGCTGCGAGGTGCCTATGATGACGGCCGTTGCCGACGTGAAGCCCACTGTAACGGGCAACGATATAAGGTCCACCAGGGCGCCCAGCTTGAGCACAGCCATTGCCAGCTCCACAATGCCAGAGATCAGGCACAATAGTATTCCATAAGCTGGACCCGAGTCCAGGCCAAAGCCCGTGTGCCGGCTGGTCATGAGAGCCAACAATGCTGTCGGTCCAATCGTCACCTGTCGACAGCTGCCCAGCAATGCGTACACTATGCCGCCCACGAATGCGGAGTAGAGGCCATACTGCGGCTCCAGGCCGGCCAGCGTGGCATAGGCCAATCCCTGTGGCAGCACCGTCAGGCCCACCGTAATGCCCGCTATCAGATCAGCCACCGCATCCTGCGCCGTATATCCTTGGAGCCATTTTAGGCCCGGCAGCAACACACTCAAGCTCTTCACAGGCATCTTGAGCTATCTAAAAAAATTTTAGAAGGTCGTAATTGTTTACATGTTTATTAATGCACATTACTTCTGCACACTTTTAAATGTCATAAATCAATTATTATTCAATAGTTCGATATCTATTATTCTTGTATAGTTCTTTGCAATTCTATACAACGCTTTATAGATGAAATATAGTATAGTCTTTCCCGTCTGTGCATTATTGTTTAGATTACTGAATTCACTGAATGAATGTATCATGAAATGGTTCTAGGATTTATATGCTAAGGAACACAATTGTATATAAATAATCGGAATACAAAATAAACATCATATTTTATGAATAAAACAACCTGTAGAGCTCAAACTTTGTTTAATATGAGTACGAATTGGCTGTTTTATTTTTTCACTCTCTCTCTCTCTCTCTCTCTCATTCCCTCTTCATGCACTATACCTGTCTGTGCAACTAATTCTCTTCATTTTAACTAAACTATCTTTTAAATACAGAAACTAATGAATATTTTAATCTACAACAATATTTCAAGCAGCTTTCTTAAAACGACTGTCACACATTTTTTCACAAGAGCCCATTCACGTTTTTTTCCAAATATGAAAAAAAAGCATACAAAAATGTTTGCACAAATGTACCTATGGAAAGATAAACACGTTACACAACTTTAGGCCAAAATATCAATACTTGAATTTTGTTGATTTTTATACGAACAAAATTGATAACCAATTGAGAGAGCGAACAGAATGACTCGACAGCTGCTCGACGACTGACGACATTTCAATGCAGTCGTCGATCGCGTGCAGAAATTGTTTATGTCGCACGATTTGATCCAATTTACTTAATAAGAGTGCGACACAACAAAACGTGATTAAACTACACACATACACATATAGCATATGTAAATAAATAATATATGTAAACAAGTGGGCGTAATTTAATTGAACTTTAATTTCAGTCTTTCAGTTTCGTGTCAAAATAAATACTATACATTAATTTTAGAAACAAAATACTACATTTACTGCTGATTCGAATTTATTTCAAGAGCATTGGCATGCTTATTGAGTCGGCCGTGTTATATTATGAAACTATTTGCATTCATAATCAGATACGAAATAGGCGCGATAAGAACTTTATTTACACTAACATAAATATTGATCAAAAGCATTTGCTAAAGAAATCTTTATCAGAAGAACCATTACATAAAAAAAAATATTTTTTTAATAATATATTTAAATATCAATATTTTATTTTTTTATTATCATAAATAATGCATTGTATATCATTTTATAAATTACGCATAAAATTATTAAAATTATTAATTTTAATGAAAGGTGTAAGTGCACTTTTATATTTCCTTATTAGTTTACCTTTTTTTTATATATTATACTATTATATCTATATAATTAATTATTTTATTAATTACTGATTTATTTAAAACAAAAAAATTTTTGTATTTAAATTAAAAAAAAAAAACTCAACTTCTAGTTAGCTATGTTTTTTATACAAATTTGTAAAATTATTCATAGCAATTGAAAATAAGTAAAAGGCAGTGATAAATCTTTGTTCGTGAGCTTTTTAACATGTTTTTGAAAAAATAAAAACAAGTTCATAGGCAATTAAAATGATAAATGCATAAGAACTCTCAAAAGATGTCACATTTTTTAGATTCGAGCTTTAAGTAGATGCCACGTCAAGGCCCCTTTTTGGGACTCAAAATTGTTTAATTATCACCGGACTATTTACAAGAAAACAATTCAAAAAGCGTCGTCATGTAAATGTAAGTATGGATGTATGTATGTGTGCTTGTTGGCTGCTTAATGGAATGCCCGCCTTTTTTAACCGCTAAAGCTCTCACTCGCAAGTCAATGCCCAATTGATTGCCTGTAATTGGCAAGTTAAGAAAAACTAGTTTTGGCTGAGGCAGATAAACAAACACTCGAAACACATAGAGACATTAATTCGTCACAATTTCATTCTGCAAATGTGGAAAAACATATTTAACAACACTACCAACAGCTCTTTTGGCTAAGCACTTTATTGTAAACACACTAAAAAAAATGGGCCAAGTGAAAGATGGTTAGAAATTACTCTCTGATGACGCTGGCATGAGTACGCAGTCTTAAAAACATGTGTAAATAAAACACTCGGCAAACTATTTGTTCCAAATTAAACGCTCATTTCTTTAGGTTTCCTGCTTTTTAAACTTACTTCTTGTTTTCAAAACAATTGTGAATTTCTGGGCACTGGGGCCACCGGCAATAACGCGCTTCGATGTCTAAATCCCTACTGAATACATGGGCAAAGACTGGTACGCTGTTCACATATTACAAACAGAATTAAAGCATTTTGCCAAATTAATCTACTTGATATGTATGTCCGTAACGAAACTACTCAAATGGCACACCCTACTCACATACTATGTTTTCTATTTCACAATGCTTAATAAACACAGTAAACGAGCTGCATACTGTACATTAAAACTCAATCAGCTGATTGTTAGGAGCTGCCATCTTGGCCGCATATAGCAGCGCC